CCTCGGCCTCCCAGAGTGCTACGATTACAGGTGTGAGCCACCGTGCCCGGCCAAAAATAGGCTTTATTTTTTAGAGCAGTTTTAGGTTCACAGCAAAATTAAGTGGAAGGTACGGAGATTTCCATATACTCCTGCCCCCACATATGCACATAAAGACCTTTTTACAAACCTGTCATTAAATAAAAAAACTTCACGAGGACTTTAAATGACTTGGTTCTTATTTCTGGGAACTAAGAATGAAGTTTTGACCCTATATTCCTACGGTTTGCTTTTTATAGTGCTTCTCAGCATTGAGTTGCAAGTCTTTGCATAAGTTTAAATAAAAATATAGCAACCAATTATGTGTATGAAAATTACTTTAAAATAATGATGTCTTTTGTTAAGATGGGCGGAGCCAGCTGGTTGTTTAAAACAGGGCCTTGCTACATGTCTGTGATAGAATTTTCATCTCTTAGATACTGTCCTTAGCAATTCAGGTTCAAAAATTTGATTTTATCTTAACACCTTGAGGCAGGCAGCCTCTGGGAAATTTATTCAGATAAACTGATTTCACAAATGACTGCTTTTATAAACCACAATTTCAGTTTGTTTATTATAATTTACAATTATTTACCTCACCAGTGATTGCTCACATTCTTTATTTTTGCTATTCAAGTATCCCCTTTTAGAGCATCAGGATTTCAAATAGTATGTATTAAAAATTATCAAGATTCCTGGCTGGGTGCGAGGTGGCTCACGCCTATAATCCTAGCACTCTGGGAGGCCAAGGAGGGAGGATTGCTTGAGCTCAGGAGTTCAAGACCAGCCTGAGCAAGAGCAAGACAACTGTCTCTACTAAAATAGAGGCCGGGGGCACGGTGGCTCACGCCTGTAATCCTAGCACTTTGGGAGGCTGAGGCGGGATGATCGTTTGAGCTCAGGAGTTCAAGACCAGCCTGAGTAAGAGCGAGACCTGGTCTCTACTAAAAAAATAGAAAGAAATTAGCTGGACAACTAAAAATATATAGAAAAAATTAGCCGGGCATGGTGGCGCATGCCTGTAATCCTAGCACTTTGGGAGGCTGAGGCGGGATGATCGTTTGAGCTCAGGAGTTCGAGACCAGCCTGAGTAAGAGCGAGACCTGGTCTCTACTAAAAAAATAGAAAGAAATTAGCTGGACAACTAAAAATATATAGAAAAAATT